AACCACCTTTCCGTCTTATTTTTTACCCTTTCCCTCCATGTTGTCAATTTTCAGACTGGAAACAAGTTGTAAAGACGTAAGCTGCTGTAAGCAATACAGACAAACAGGTAATGCTATGAGAAAATACTAATCCACATTGTAAAGTATGAGGTAAAGGTAAAAAAAGAGAATAATGACACTTCCTTTGTAAAGTGCTTCAAGATCTACTAATGAAACACACTCTACAAAGTAGGTATTATATGTCTTTACAACTATGCTCAATTAGGTCTCCAGAAATTTCTCTTACAGAAAAGCCCTTTCTTTGAAGTGAAAAAATGGCATTCCTAAGAATTTGTTTCTAAAAATCCATTAATTTTCAAATCACTTCAGAGTTTCATCATGAAAAACAAACAATCCCATACTTACTTCCAGCTGACCACCCCATGCAGCTGTGTTGACTATATCATCGCAGTATTTTTCAAACTCCTCTGCAGGGAGAATAAAAGAAAAAGGAAAGCGTAAACTTCTCAGTAAATGTCTTTCTTGAATGTGAGTTGGCTGAAAATATTGATAAGAGAAAAAAATTTGGGGCTGGAAAAGTAGAACACAGTGTAAGGAACTCTACTATATACAGGCAGTCCCCGAGTTACGCGGATCCGACTTATGTCGGATCCGCAGTTACGAACAGGGATTTTCTCGCCCCGGAAGACTGGAGCGGCGGGGGGCCCGGGCCCCCCCCCCCCCCCTCCTCGGGGGCGAGAAAAGCTGCTCCCAGTCTCCCTGGTCTGCTGGGGGAGCCAGCAGACCAGGAAGACGGGGAGCAAAGCGGCAGAGGACCTGGGTCCGGACCCGCGGCGCTGATCTGGAAGCGCCGCGGGTCCGGCCTGGGTCCTCTGCCGCTTTGCTCCGCGTCTCCCTTGTCTGCTGGGCGGTGGGGGGGGGGGGGGGCCCGGGCCCCCCCCCCCCCCCTCCTCGGGGGCGAGAAAAGCTGCTCCCAGTCTCCCTGGTCTGCTGGGGGAGCCAGCAGACCAGGAAGACGGGGAGCAAAGCGGCAGAGGACCTGGGTCCGGACCCGCGGCGCTGATCTGGAAGCGCCGCGGGTCCGGCCTGGGTCCTCTGCCGCTTTGCTCCGCGTCTCCCTTGTCTGCTGGGCGGTGGGGGGGGGGGGGGGCCCGGGCCCCCCCCCCCCCCCTCCTCGGGGGCGAGAAAAGCTGCTCCCAGTCTCCCTGGTCTGCTGGGGGAGCCAGCAGACCAGGAAGACGGGGAGCAAAGCGGCAGAGGACCTGGGTCCGGACCCGCGGCGCTGATCTGGAAGCGCCGCGGGTCCGGCCTGGGTCCTCTGCCGCTTTGCTCCGCGTCTCCCTTGTCTGCTGGGCGGTGGGGGGGGGGGGGGGCCCGGGCCCCCCGCCGCTCCAGTCTTCCGGGGCGAGAAAATCCCTGTTCGTAACTGCGGATCCGACATAAGTCGGATCCGCGTAACTCGGGGACTGCCTGTATTTCAGAGAGTTTGTGTGTCTGTCTGCATGTCCATCTGTTCAAGAATTCCTCATAAACTGTAAAAGCTAGGACCATCAAATTTGGTATGCATCTTCCTCTTTTCATAACTTAAGGCAAGGTAAGGGTTTGGTTGTGCAGGGAGGAGGGGCAAAGGTTTCTGAAGCTTCCCTCCTCCAATGCATAAAACCATACAAAACAGAGACAATCAGCAGGCAGGTGAAAGGGGTTGGCAGAGGTAAGGGGGCTTCCCTGCATGTCCAAGACTGCCCCAGCCCTGAGCCTCCAACCTCCCAGGCACTCTTTAGGGCAGGGAGGGGTGCCGTTCCCCTTTGCTAGGAAGTGAGGGGAAAATGCACAGTTTGCTTCATTCCTCTATCTGGTTGGGGAGCAGAAAAACCTGGACCTGTCTCAGGCAGGGGATATGCATCCTTCCCCCAGCTGGAGCTGCAGTGGCCATGGACAGGCACTTCTCATCTGACTCCAAGCTTCTGTGGCAAGAGGGGGCTGGAGCAGTCCTCTCCCCAGGAGAGACTGCATACTGAAACCCTCAACCCCAATCCCATCCCAGAGCAACGATTTCAATGAAGAAAAACAAAAACTGAGTTAAGGACACCAAGTAAATCTTTTAGTAGAGTAATAAAATCCAGGAAACAGCAAATTATATTTTAAAGCACTTCTTGAATAAATTTTATCAAACTAAATATTGTACCTAATAAGTGGCACACAATAGCTTTTAACTGCAGGAGTTATAGCTCAGAGACAACATGCAGTGGAAGTATTTTTCTATCTAATTTGTAGGCTTGGCTCACATACAAGATAGATGTCAAATATATTTTTCAGGTCCTGTAACTATCTGCAGTTCTACTATGTTTTCCTCCAAATTTATTGGGTTGTTTTTCTCTCAGTAAAATGGCAAGAACGATTGGGGGTTGCAAGTAAGATCTGTACACTTATATATTAAAAGAACAAAATTGGTAAACCTCTTCATAAAAATCACTATTTAATACATTCTTGATGAATAATAAACTGGACAATTACACACTGTTAAGACCAAAAAGCATTTTCTTGGATTAACTACCTCTCACATCACTTAAAGAAAATCAGTGTGCATTTCAAAGAGACTATGATGGGTAAAGATTTATAAGGCAAACTGAAGATTTATCTATTTTGATACAGAGGAAATAAACCTACCAATAAATAAAAAGGTAATTTAAAATCTAAGAAAGGAAGTCTAGCCTCAGACAAAAGAGAGTTAGCTAAAATGCTACAGTGCTGCTAATATCTAGCACCAACACTACAGGAGTACCTATAATGTCTCTTTTAGGCAGCACACATCATAAGAAGCAAGCATGCAGACTACGTAACTTCCACAATACTGTACTAATATTCAGCTTTACAGCACATGTGGTAACCATGTGAACAACACTTGTCTCGACTCACTAGTTGCCATATTAACAGGAACAGCAACATATACCACACTTTTCTATATCATTGTTCCATGGAAGTTTAAGCTTTTATTAATTTTTGAAGAGTTATTTTTGAGCTATTAAAACATGCTTAAAGGCTTCCTTCCATTAAATGCCTATTTTAGATACAGGATACGAACAGTATCTCTGAAAATCTTTAAAGGGGGAGCTATTTTGCTATTTAGGCATAGATAACTTGAAAGTCATTGTCCAGCTAAATCATTTCATGTCAAAGTCAAGTTTACAATGTGTGTTTCCTAAATGGCTTAATCAAAGGTATATTTTTTTCCAAAACAAGATTTAGCAACATTGATCCTTGCAGGAAGCTCCACTTAGGAAGGAACAATCAGTTCCATACATACAAGATGGGAAGCGACTGTCTAGGAAGGAGCATGGCAGAAAGGAATCTAGGGGTCATAGTGGACCACAAGTTGAATATGAGTCAACAGTGTGATGCTGTTGCAAAAAAAGCAAATATGATTCTAGGTTGTATCAACAGGTGTGTTGTAAGCAAAACTCGTGAAGTCATTCTGCCGCTCTACTCTGCACTAGTTAGGCCTCAGCTGGAGTACTGTGTCCAGTTCTGGGCGCCACATTTCAAGAAAGATGTGGAGAAATTGGAAAGGGTACAGAGAAGAGCGACAAGAATGATTAAAGGTCTAGAGAACATGACCTATGAAGCCAGGCTTCATGAACTGGGCTTGTTTAGTTTGGAAAAAAGAAGATTAAGGGGGGACATGATAGCGGTTTTCAAATATCTAAAAGGGTGTCACAAGGAGGAAGGAGAAAATTTGTTCCTCTTGGTTACTGAGGACAGGACAAGGAGTAATGGGCTTAAAGTGCAGCAGGGGAGGTTTAGATTGGACATTAGGAAAAAATTCCTAACTGTCAGGGTGGTCAAATATTGGAATAAATTGCCAAGGGAGGTGGTGGAATCTCCCTCTCTGGAGATATTTAAGAACAGGTTAGATAGGCATCTGTCAGGGATGGTGTAGGTGGAGCTTGGTCCTGCCTTGAGGGCAGGGGGCTGGACTCGATGACCTGTTGAGGTCCCTTCCAGTCCTATTATTCTATGATTCTAGGATTTAAACCATCTTCATTACAGTTTCAGCCTACTCAGAGAACAGGCTTATCACACTGTTGCTACAAGGTCAAAGTATAAGAGGGTTGTTTTATATCATAGATGAGATAAATTATGTTATATAACCAGAACGAAGTATACACTTCCTATGTGTAGACACGCTACCAAACAAAAGCATGGCGTACAGATCAGGTACAACCGTGCGGTAACTGTTCACAACGCAGCAATAACTGTAATACTGATAAGCTTCAAAACTACTGGTAACTAAGGATGTTAAATTGCGGCTAATTGACTAGTCCATAGGCACTTGTACATTTCAAAGGAGGAATGCAGAAGAGCAACACTGGGGCTCTTGCACATTTCAAAGGAGGAATGTGGAACTCCAGGTGCAGCCCAGGGCCAGCGGGAACTCCCACTGACTCTGGGCTGCACCTGGCATGCTAGTTTTGAAATGCACAAAAGTCCCCAGTGGGGGCTGTTGTGCATTTCAAAGCAGCAGCACAGCATGGAGCCAGGATCAGTGGAGGACTCAGCGTTCCCCACTGACCCCGGGCTCCATGCTGCACTGCTAATTTGAAATGCGCAGAGCCCAGGATCAGCTGGGGAGTCCCCAGCTGACCCCGGCCTCCATGCACAGCAGCACTGCACAGCTGATCCCTGGCTCAGCTGGGCAGTGCTGCCGCTTTAAAGTATTTCCTATTCCCCCCGTCCTCGCTGCCTTTGTCTGATAGTCGACTAGTCCTTAACAACCCTAGTGGTAACATTTGTAAAAAGACACTTTTAAGAACCACTTAAGAACTATTTATTAAGCTCATTCTTACCTCGACTATACAGGTCTCCTGTGTTGGGGTTCGTTAGAAACGGGAGGAAATCATCAATGTGACTTTGCATGTACTCTGCAGTTTGACTTCTGAGGGTTGGAACAGTCCAGGAGTGTTGCTGATTCTTGAGCTGGTCTTCAATAGCTCGATACATGCAGTGGCCATCTGATGGGATCTGTTTAATCTCCAATTGCCTTACGGCCAATATCTGGGCAAGCCTCTGACTTTCAAGATGTCTGGCTCCTGTTAAATTTTCTATCTCTGCTTCAGCTATTCTTTCTTCTCTTTCTTTCTCCAATGCAGCTTTCTTTTCCTTGGATGGAAAGCACAAAAAAGAATGGATTTCATATGAAAATTATATGAAAAATAAAGCTCAAGCTTACAAGTGCTCCCAAGTGTCTGTGCAATTATTGGTTTCCTGTTCAGTTCTATGAAATTCAGAGTTTTGTTGCTCAGATTAATGTCTGTGCATTGTGCCACCGAAGGAAGGTCAGTATCTTTTCAGGTAATAAGTACACTGAAATCCATCCTTCAGGAAAGAATAACTTTTGTACGGTAGAATTAGCAAGTTAAACTAACATTTTCCAGGATGGTGCATGAGATAAGTACAGGCAGTCCCCGGGTTACATACAAGATAGGGATTGTAGGTTTGTTCTTAAGTTGAATCTGTACGTAAGTCGGAACTGATACATACTGTACCCCAGGTGTCCCCAATTCAGCTGCTGCTGAAACTGACCAGTGGCTGACTACAGGAAGCCCGAGGCAGAGCTGCTTTGCCCCGGGCTTCCTGGAATCAGCTGCTGATCAGTTTCAGCAGCAGCTGACTTGGGGACACCTGGGGTAGAGCTGAAATGCACAAAAGTCCCCAGTGGGGGCTGTTGTGCATTTCAAAGCAGCAGCACAGCATGGAGCCAGGATCAGTGGAGGACTCAGCGTTCCCCACTGACCCCGGGCTCCATGCTGCACTGCTAATTTGAAATGCGCAGAGCCCAGGATCAGCTGGGGAGTCCCCAGCTGACCCCGGCCTCCATGCACAGCAGCACTGCACAGCTGATCCCTGGCTCAGCTGGGCAGTGCTGCCGCTTTAAAGTATTTCCTATTCCCCCCGTCCTCGCTGCCTTTGTCTGATAGTCGACTAGTCCTTAACAACCCTAGTGGTAACATTTGTAAAAAGACACTTTTAAGAACCACTTAAGAACTATTTATTAAGCTCATTCTTACCTCGACTATACAGGTCTCCTGTGTTGGGGTTCGTTAGAAACGGGAGGAAATCATCAATGTGACTTTGCATGTACTCTGCAGTTTGACTTCTGAGGGTTGGAACAGTCCAGGAGTGTTGCTGATTCTTGAGCTGGTCTTCAATAGCTCGATACATGCAGTGGCCATCTGATGGGATCTGTTTAATCTCCAATTGCCTTACGGCCAATATCTGGGCAAGCCTCTGACTTTCAAGATGTCTGGCTCCTGTTAAATTTTCTATCTCTGCTTCAGCTATTCTTTCTTCTCTTTCTTTCTCCAATGCAGCTTTCTTTTCCTTGGATGGAAAGCACAAAAAAGAATGGATTTCATATGAAAATTATATGAAAAATAAAGCTCAAGCTTACAAGTGCTCCCAAGTGTCTGTGCAATTATTGGTTTCCTGTTCAGTTCTATGAAATTCAGAGTTTTGTTGCTCAGATTAATGTCTGTGCATTGTGCCACCGAAGGAAGGTCAGTATCTTTTCAGGTAATAAGTACACTGAAATCCATCCTTCAGGAAAGAATAACTTTTGTACGGTAGAATTAGCAAGTTAAACTAACATTTTCCAGGATGGTGCATGAGATAAGTACAGGCAGTCCCCGGGTTACATACAAGATAGGGATTGTAGGTTTGTTCTTAAGTTGAATCTGTACGTAAGTCGGAACTGATACATACTGTACCCCAGGTGTCCCCAATTCAGCTGCTGCTGAAACTGACCAGTGGCTGACTACAGGAAGCCCGAGGCAGAGCTGCTTTGCCCCGGGCTTCCTGGAATCAGCTGCTGATCAGTTTCAGCAGCAGCTGACTTGGGGACACCTGGGGTAGAGCAGCTGGGGTGCTGCCAGGTTGG